GTTGGACGCCGCGCGAGCCCCGCCCCCGCTCGCCCGCCCGCCCGCCTGAGGGAAAAGCGGCGGGAAACGCGGTTTTAGTCAGGGCGGCGGTTTCGGGCAGGACAGCTCACACCGGCCTTAAAAACAAACCGCATTCCCCCGCACCGCTCTCCGGCGAACGGCGCCTTGGGAGCCAAGCTGTTGATGAAGGTGCCTCCGGGCTCCTCGAAGCGCTCGAGAAATAAGCTACAACTCCCCTCTTCCTCCCCCCTCCGCCCCCCCCCAAACCTGGAGCAAAGGCGTCTTCGGCTTTTCCCTGCAGTGAAGTTTACTGCTGAAAAGACCTATTTCCCCCCCCCCCCCCATGTGTAGTGCAGCCCCGCTAGCCTTTTTTTTTTTTAGTAATAAAAAAAAGTTGCAATAATACACAAAGACTACTTAAAAAATGAAAGCATTTAGGCTGATGCCATAGTGAGGTACAGACCCAGTGTTTGCCCTTCCAAACGAAACGCTGTATAACTTCAAAGTTATCAGGAAATTATTTAAATATCATAATTATTTATTAAATAATAAACTTTATCCCTCTCAGTCCTATACTCCTGATGTTGCCCCTTCTGCACTTGAACAGGCATTATTCACCCTCCCAGGAAGAAAGCAGCAAGAAACTGAGCAACCAAACCCAAGTGCTGAAACAGGACTTCAGAACCCATCTTTTCAGTTTCCCAGTTTACCCCATGAAGGTGCTTTTAACATTCTCTACTCTCTCTCAGTATAAACCTAACCATGCGATAAGTTAACACCTGGGCTCATGGGGTGGAGCTCCACTTAATTAGCTCCAGTTAATGTTCTGAATATGGCAACATTTGCTTTTTGTCACTCCTCAAACTGCTCCAGCTAACCTTGCTCTTCTGTAAAACAGAATTCAAAACACTCTGTCCACAGATACTAAACTGCAGAAAATAACTTTCACTCAGCTGTTCTTGGAGATCAGAGTCTAAAATAGCATTTTGTGTTCACAGCTGAAGAGTTTAAGAAAGCAAATCTCCTCGGTAAATTAACAGCAGCAACGCTCCGTTGAGTTTATTGCTCTACATCTGGCAATGCCTACACACTGAGAGTGATTAAATTTAACTGACTGCCTTATGTGTGACATTTTCCCAATCAGCTTTTTATAACATGGTTAATTGGACGTTAGAGGCCGAAAATAATAGGAAACCCTTTTCTTTATTCTAGCAGTAAGATGCCAGGCCTCTAGATCAGAGAGAATAAAACGGAGGCTCATGCAGAAAAAACATTCTTCTGCCCAAAAGCAGTGAGAAAAAATAACCAGATCTATGCCAAGGTCAAGAACTTATCATGCACGTGCTCAATACAGTAAAAACTATCAAGAAATCCTTACCTTAAAAATACTCATACCAAGCTGTCTGCAGAGACCAAGTAACAGTAAGCTCTATTCCTAAACAGCTTACCACAATCCATGAAAAATCGTGCTTATGTGCAACCTCAAATGGTAAGGATGAAATAGCAATGTAAGATTAATTAGGAACTGTTCTTCCACCTAAAAGTAAGCTGAGGTCTTCAAAACTTTTTTTTTCCCTAGTCTTCATTTATTGTAGTGCTATAAAAATACAAAATTCACTTTTAACTCCTGACTTAAGTATTTCTAGATCTTTTGGCTGAGGTAATAAATCCGAACATTGGTAAATACAAATGTAGCACACGCCACAGGAGTTTTCCACTTTGTGACTAAATGCAATGTTTTCTTTTTTTGTTTTCCTCCCTCTGTTTACTGATCATTTATCTCTTACACTGCAGCTTACCTTGTGAGGAGGACTCAGACGATACTGTACTTTGCTTTGCTGCTCTAAAAAGCAGGGAATAAAAGACCTGGAGCTACTGTAAACTCTGCAGGAGGTCAGTTCAGATGAGCCGAACGTAAGCTGGCCATGGGGGCTATGTGGAGAGTACCACAACCAGCACTGCCCCAGGCAGCAACCATGCTGCTTCTGCCTAAATGCCCCCTCTTCCTCTCTGACCATGTCAAGCAGCTTGGTTATCTAACAACACACCTGGTCAGGGCTGTGCAAATAAGTGGCTTGGAACATAGGGTGTTCTGTAGTTACAAAGTAAGTTTTCCCCCAATGTGAAATCTCTTGGCTCTGCTGCAAAGCCTGGTGATTTCCACAGTAGAACATAAGCTCTTTTTCCAAATCAGTAGCAATTTCTAGATCTATAGGATCAGAAAGTTTAATTTTGATGGAAGATTCAAACAAACCATGGAATTAATTTACATACACTATGTGCAAACAGAAGTTTAGACACTATCTCTAATAATATCACTGAGAGCTTTGTGAAATAACAGTAGCAGCCTACTGCCTTCAGGGAAACAAGAGACTGGCAGCTTTCTAAAGGAATGTTAAGACCTTAATTTTTATCTCTTGTTCTGTAAGCAGCATAATTCTCTTTCAAGCAGCTGTAGGATACCTGCGTGAAAGAGAGGTCACTATCACTACAGGAAGATGAAGCCCTGACTCAAACAGAAAAGGGGTGAGATGGAGCACTTCATAGCTGCCACCGCATCAGATGACATTGAATTACGTATGTAAGAGTCCATATTTCTATCTAGTAAATAGAAGGCAGAAATAGGTGGGAGTAGGGAGAATACGCCATGCAACACATGCACAGTTGTCCAAAACATCCAAGATGGCACGTGTTGTTCATAGAGCAACTGCAAGTGTACCACGCAGTCTGCAACTGCAAATAGGAACTTCATATGCTTCAAGGACATGTTGGGATCATCATGCCACTCACTACTGTCTTACGGCTCATTCCTTTGGGGCTTCGAGGGCTACCAGACCACACAGGGACTGCACTGGGTAATACACATTAGCGAGGAGAAAATGAATTTAACGTTCTCTTAATTCGCCCTGTTCCTTGATAAACTTACATGCAAATATCACATGATTTCCTGCACCATCCGTTTTCCTCAAAGCACAAACCAAATTCAAGCCTCCTTAACTGGATGTGATCTACTATAAAAAAAAAAGAATCATCTGGCTATTTCTGCCAGGATATTTCTGCTTTGCTAATCACAAAAGCATGCTTTATACTGTCAGATTTCCAGAGAGACACAAGACGACAGACATCTTTCAATAGTGACAGAAACATCTAAATACTTATGTACTGAGAGTAGTTTAACTTACTCATTGTGAATCAAGGAAAATTTTGTAGACCTACCTCCCTAAACTGATATTCAAAATTCAGCCACTGGCCAACTACTGTAACACTGTTAAATAAAAGACAGTTGAGATGTCAGAACATAATTTAAATATTTAGAACTTAGTAGCACCATCATAATAAAAAATTATTAATAAAAGTAGACATTGTTATAGTGGGAATGTATTTAAGATATCTTTGTGTCATAAAGACTTGCCTAACACAACTCTGATAAAATACTTTCAAGTGTGTACATTGTCAAACTGTAGATGCTCATTTGAGCATCTTGTAAGCTCTAAAGAAAAAAAAATATTACAAAGACTGTATTATACAACAAATGCAAAATCACTTCATTATGAACTATTATTGCTATATTCATTTCAAATAATACAAAATTATTAATTATATACAAAAAAGCCTCCCCAGAATTTTCGTAATTAGCAGAACATTTCGGTTTCTTTAATTGCTTCCATTAGAGTCATTTGTTCATTTTATTAACACCAGATGCAATAACACAATGCTAAAAATAAACATGCATTATACAACAAATTTATATTTTTCAAAAAATGTTCATTACAATTAGTGAATGCACATGTAACTCTTCCCCCCCCACCTTTAGTGAATTATTGTTTGAAACAGAGAAAAGGGAAGGAAGGAGAAACCAAACTTAATGCTATTCAGCACCAGTAGAAAGTCAATAGACCTTTAACATTCCTGTATATCAAAAACATTTTATCTGTATCACTAAACAGGTAAAGTTTACAATATTATCCCATTTGAAGATGGATTGATTTATATTTACAATACTTTGTAGTCAATAAAACATTTTAACAATATTTAAAAATTGCTTAAATTCATAAAAGTATTGCAGAAATTTATAACATTTACTTATTTTACGTACGTACAAGGAAGTCCATGTAAAACTGTCCACGTTCATCTGAAGAACTGACAGAGTAAGGAGCAATTTTAATACAGTTTGCAAAACCCCAATTATTTGAAGGCAGCTATCATTAAACATTCAAAAATCCTTAGTTGCCATTTGCTTCTGAAAACTAAAGTTCCAGTAATAAAATTGAGTATGTAAACTAACATGTTTTTGAGATCAGTAGAAAATATATTCCCACAGGCATAACATATTTAACAATGATGATAATGATTTTGTAGAAAACTCTTAAGCTGTAGAACAGACAACTCGGTAACGGTCTTTGTGAGACCCACAGATAGAGTAATTTCCAAATATCCAGTATTTTAGCAGCTCTTTGTGTTTCCAGTTAAACTTCCTACAGTGCTAAAATACGACAACTGAACGTGTAAGACCTTATTAGAATTTTAAAATCCAATTTATTTTGGCATCTAAAGCCTCTTTTAAAATGTAGCCACATAACATTGACTTCTGTAGTCTAAGAGTCAATAATAAACAAACCAAAAGTACACACTGTGCTTTAATCTCCAAATAATTAGGTACCCAAAATTAAGAAAAAGTAATAGAAAAGTAAAAAGAACAAAATAAAAAAATATTGCACAGCCACATTACCTAGAAAGTAAAGTTGATGTTAAAAAGCCCTAAGTGTGGATGATATAAATTATCTTCCATATAAAAAGTATAAATATCTCTTAAAATACAGCTGCAGCTATACTTTAATACCACACATTATTTGATTCTTCTGTTAATGAGGTAATAACCAAGTCTCTTACAATGCTTTTCTCTACTGAAAATATTTTAGGGCAGCAACAAGAAAGAATTTTTCTAAAAATATTTCTGAATCAAGAACAGCAATGTGTGCAGCTCTCCCGATGAGAGAATCTGCTGTATTGGGTAATGCATTAATTACATTATAACGAACCAAATTACATTCCTTATTTTGAAGAACTGGCAGAAGCAGATTCTGGATCATTTCAGCATAAATTGGTCCTGTAGAGGAAAAGAAAAGTTGTACTG